CAGTAGGATTGTGTCCAATCCAACTCCACTCTCCATCAGTCTTCAGCAGACATGAATTTGTATACGCCCGGAAAAAGAAACCCTAACACAGCAGTGTGAAATCACACACAGCTTTGTCACTCTAAGGGCTCACACTATAAAACCTTCATTGCTCCAGTCCGTGAAGCGAAATGACAAATGACTCCAGTCAAAAGCTTACAGTCAGGACCTAAATCTTCCACCACCCCCCTCCTGCAGGAATTAATTTTAGGTGTTCTGTGAGATAAATTGAATTTTGCATTCTTCCAACTGCAAAATAGATTGTTCTAGTTATTAAAATAAATATATGGAGAAAAAAAATTGAAAAGAGAAAGGAAATTGTGGTGTAGTCAGAGTCATGCCAAACAATCACAGTGGTACTGAGACACTCGTGCTATATTTTTGCAGAAGCACCAAGGAAGAAGGAAAGAAGGGGGGGGGGAACCCCACACCTTTTCAGAGTCTTTCTGGAGGCAGTTTAAGGTTAAACTAAAAGCAGATGTCATAACTTCAGCTGTGCTGCACCAGCTGACTTCAGTGGGAGAAGGACCAGAAATTGTTAGTTCTGGTTAGACCTCCAGCAGTTGCGGTGCATTCTCTGATCAACACTGTGGCTTTATGCCTCAATTACAGATTGTGCCCGACATAGACCATAGTTATCTGTTTCAAACAGCCTTCCTCTTCTCTCTTCCATACAGCATTTTTCACTGACCAAGTTTAGTTCAACACAAAAGACACCACACATAGTTGTCCAGGAAGCTGCAGCTGGACTTCCCCAACACAGGCTGTGAGGTCTTCCTAGAATCTGTCTTGATCCCTTGGCCACCGTTTACCTCCTTTCTTGTTGCATTACTGCATACTTCATACTGATCAAGATACCTACCCCCTACCAACATTTCAGCAAGAAGCAGAAGTGTGATGCTCCTCAGGCAGTAAAAAGGCAAAAAATACCAGATACTAAAGCTTCAGAGATTAGAATTAAGGAGACTGACACCAACATTTTTGAGCCCCTGAGACTATTAAGCAGCAACTATCACGTAAAAGGCCTCAGTCTTCCACTGGACTAGGACCTCACAGGTCAGTCATTGTCACTTGTTTAGTAGAATATTTTGTTTTCTGACAACTGCAGCTCAAGCCCAACTGGAACTGTTCACCAGGCTTTGGGAAGAAACAGTTACAGAGATGAAGGTACCGTAAAATAAAGCTGCTGAATTTTTCTAATGCAAAAGAATTTGAGATTAAGGGCTTCATTTTAGCTCAAAATATTTAATTTTACTTAAAACAAAGTTTTTACTAACCTTTTGATTCAGCCAGCAAAACAAAAACTTATCAATTATTTCCATAGTGCCACTTAGATTTGGGCTCTGAATGGATTTCAGTACAGAAGAACAACAATCAATTGCTGTGTTGCTGACTCCAACCAGTTAATTCTTAGTTCTGCAGTAGTGGATTTTTTTCTTAAAGCCCCAGCTTCTTGAATCATGTGATTCTATGAATAACTCATCTCTCTTTCCCACAGAGAGTAGAGATCTGATCGTTTGGGTTCAAGCACCAGCTCTCATGGTGGAGCACTAAAGCGCTAAATGTCCCAAACAAGCAAAACAGGTATTTTTCCATCTTACTGATTTTAAAGTCAATCTTATAATATGGCCTGTTTATTATTTGAACTGATTTTTGAACTCTTAGGCTAGAGCATATTGCAAGTGACTTTCCAGGAGCAATTGAGAAAGATGCTTCAGGATATCTCCATCCCTTGGGCTTTTAACCCTTCCCTGCTGCTGGCCCCGTTCCCCATTTGTTTTGGTGAAGGACACCATCAGCCAGCAAAGCTTAAACCCATGCAAACAGCAAGAGTTAATTTGTTGCAATGTATCTGAGTGTAGTAACTGATTACATTTTTCCCCAAAGGAAACTTCAGTTAATTTGGTTAGTGACTCATATGCCAGGCTGCCAATTACAACACAGATGATTACACACATAAATTCACGTCGCAGCGGCTCAACGATCACAGGCAGGAAAAAAAAAAAGACCAAAAAAAGGGAAAAGAAGCAAATGGAAAGGAATAAAAGCTCCCCTTTACCACTCTGGGACTTGGGAGGGGGGGTGAGTGCCTCACCCTGCTGGGGTCCCCAAAAAAGGCCATTGGAGACAGAGTGCCAAAGCCTACAAGGCTGGGATATGACATCTCTAAAATGGCTGCGTCTTCTAGCTTTCCATTTGGGATTTTCAGTGCAGAAATGCATTGCACACTCTCTTAAAGACTGTTTGCCAGTATCATTAGAGGAATCCATACACAAAGAGAGCAGGAAGGAAGTTAAATGAGCAGTGCTTGGCAGTACATCAGTAAATCATTTAAAGATAACCTGTGCATACCAATACCAAAAGAAAAATCCAATTAAAGTAACTTATTACAAACCTAATCCCATTTCTGAAGTGCTTTATATTCCTAAGCAGGAGTGGGAGAGGGAAAGGAAAGGAACAGGAGAAGGAGTCAAAGTCTGATACTATCGCATGAGGAAAGCCCAAGCAAGGCATTAGGAAAAACCCCTACATGCCTCGTCAATTGGCCAATGAAATCAATATCAAGGGAAGCTGGCCTGGCTCCTGGATACACAGTCAGAGAAAATGAGACTTTGCACTTGAAAGCAGTAGGAAGCTCTGACATTGGTAGAGACTGTAGGAGGAAGAAGGTGTTCTTTCATCTTAAATGAAAGACACTTCATTGGCCTAAAATGTATGTCTAGCTAGACACTCCTGTAGACAAACACCTGCATACCTCCTTCATTCGGGGTCAACAGGCTGGCTATAGCATAACTCATGCAGTTTCTTGCTGGAGAGGTCAAAATCCTCTACAAAGAGTAATTAAGCTCTGTGGCACCAGGGTACTATTAGACCCATTTTAAAAGGGAATAACTAAAAGGATGTAGTGGGTGAGTTGCCCAAGGTCATTAAGCAAGTCAGTGTCAGAATCCAGTATTACACACAGATGCCTGGTCTCCCATCCTCACCTCTCTCCAGGAGGCAACTCCCCTACATTGGCCTTTATTAAATAACCATTACAAAAAATGTATTCATTTTAATTTGGAACTATGTAAATTGACTCTTTCCCAAAAGACTGCAATTGGCTGTTAAATAAATACCAAGTGATTATTGCAATCATATTTGCAGAAGGGTGGATCATCAGTGTAATGTGCTGGGTTCAATAAAAAGGTTATTGCCTGTCAAATAAACATGATAAGCAGAGCCTGGACTGATGAAGCATATTCAATCACTGCCTTTGGTGGGAACCGCAGCTGCTCAGCACTGTTCAGAGTCCGAGATCAAGTATTTTGTGCAATATGTAGGGAGAAAATTGGCTCTGCCAAAGCAAAGATAATTCCTGTAGCAAGATAAACTCAGGTCGGGCTCTGGCACCCCTAAACTTGATTATAAGGACAGTTAAGTCTCACCAGTTTCTGTAAAAACAACTCAGTGTGAGATACTGTTCTTAAGGGTAAAGGTAGCAGCAATCACCCCTATAGCATGAAATGATAAGATGATTTTAACGTTACTGCTAAATTAAGTGCAGATACAGGAAGCTAAGAATCTTGCTTCTGTTTTTACTACAACTCAGCAGAAAAAGAGAGCAGTAAACACAGTTGAATATTCAGATTATGTCTTTCAGAGAGACGGTCTGAACACAAAGGAAGCTGTTTTAAACTGCCCATTTCTTTTCTGGTTTTCCAAAGTGCAACTTTGCAAGAATAGTGTTTGTTCTGTGCCATAAACTGCAGTCATTCAGTTTCAGGCTGCTTCATGCCGCCGAGGCAGGGCTAAGGGACGTTATTACAACAAACCCTCCGTTCTGATGCCGTTTGTCAGTGGGAGCAGCATGTCTCACTGGAACAACAAGTCTTGCTGCTGTCGCAAAGCAAATACTGTTTGCAAAAGCGAAGAGCTAAACAGTCGATGCATGTAGTAACTGCTGCTTATGTTAAATAAACAATCTCTTTACAAGCTGATCTCCCAGCCCCGAGTCGGGGCAGAAGCGAGCGAGGAGCAGTTCCGATTTACAGCACTAGGTGGCAAGCCTCCAACAAGAAGTAGGTGCTGGGAGCAGAGCCTCAGCCGAGGCTTCAGCCGTCACCTGACAGCGTTTGCGTTATGGAAAAACGTTCTTGATTTAAACACCTAATGTCTCCCATTAAGAGAGACATCTCTATATGCTGGCATAGAGCAGCGGCTGCAGCATCCAGGACATGTTGTACTGCAGATATGGCTTAGAGAGAACAGTTCTTACCATTCTGATCTGCAAACCTTGCCACGATGTTCTTTTTCCTGTTAACTGTTTCCTTAATAGTTACACCCTCCCCCCCCCCCCCTTTAGACTATTTTGGGGTTTGCTGCTGGAAACAGCTGAAGGTTGAGATACAGATTTTAGAAGACATGGGCTCTGCTTGATTCAGAGGGAGCCAGTTTGGAAAGTATGTAATGTGGTTCTTCGCTGACTGCAAGCCAGGCAGCATAGCCCCGCGCACATCCACGCTCGCACAGCCCAATTAGAATGTTAATAATAATTAAGTGTCTTAGTCCTAAGACGCTCCTACACAGGGGAATGCTAAAGTGCCAGTCAGCTCATTTCATTACACGCAGCCAGACACCTCTCAGACCCTGCATGTTTGCTAAGGGAGCGGAGCCATTCCAGCTCCAGCCAATCTGATCTCAGATGATCGGCTCAACAAACAAATTAGAGCAGCCTACGGGAAGAAATGTGGACCAGAAAGAAGTCCAGCTGTGGCAGCTGAGCTGTACCTTTCACCTCCAACTGAGCCACAGCAAATAAATACAGGGTGAAAGCTATGAATTTCCAGTTTGTAAGGGTTTGTGGGAGTCTTTATCTAGCTTTGGTTCACACGCTTCAAAGCAGCTCCATTTCAGATTTGAGATAATCCCCTAATTAAACACAAACTCAGCCTTAAGCTGCATGTCATCTGATTTCTCACCCCAAAAATCAGAACTGGACACAGACTTGCTGGAGTTGTTCAGCTTGTTCAGCCTCAAGATTACATTTAACTGGACAGCAAGGGCCGGCCCAGAGGTCGCCTTCCATCTGTTTGAACCACGTGAGTCACCCACCTTCCTCATCCTTCACGAATGCTGAAGTCTGGCTCACAGCTGACCACAATGTGCTGCTTATTCACAAATCAAGCCCTTTCAGATGTTAGCTTGCAAACAACTATGTCCTTTGGTGGGCAATCAGACAGAAGGCTATCAAGAGGGAATGGTGGGTTTGCTGTTGGAATAGTTTTTGGGTTCAAGGTTTGCCCTTCTGGTAACATCCAAGAGGAGGCTGGGAAGAAAAGCTTGGATACAATTCTCACGGTCAGAACCTTTTGAGTGACTCAAGAGTTCTGGAGTTTCATTATGCCTGGCTTAAAAGGAATGAATTTAGTCTGTTTGATACCAGAAATGTTATATGGCTACTTCTCAGTCAAACAGTGAGGCAAGAAGCAAAACCTACTGGCATATGGAAACAGAAAGCCCTGTTTATTCTGAGCACACTCCAACTAAAGCAGATACAAAATAAGTTAAAGCAAGGGCTGAGTCATTCCCATTTCCAATAAATTAAAGGAAAAAAAAGTCTCATCACTTTGCACTCTATTTCACATCAGAGAACAATCACAACAGACTACTCGCTTAATGCAATGATGACTTTACCCCTGCCCCCAAGGGGTTTCTCTGCCTCTCTTGCACAGCTCTGAAAATTATCACATTTCCCCCCATTTTATGTCTCTCCCCACACCCAGTTTGCCCAATTTCAAACACTTTGGGTTCACACAGCTGCCTGTTTGCAGTTTACTTTTACTATCCTTTGATTTGTACCAGCTGCAAGAGCTAAAAACCACACAAGCCCATGTATCTGCTTAGATGTGCATTATACAACACTACACCTGATTGTGCACCTGAGCTCACCAAGATCCAGCTTTCCCAAAAGATCGGAAGCCTGAGCAAAATCAAGCCAGTCCAGCAACCCAAATCCAGTAGACAAAGAACAAGTGAAGGTCCCTTTGGGTCTTAGTTTCCCCACAGATGACCAGAATGAAGAAGGAAAGCTGTTGGCCAACTCACTGCTGCGGTAGAAGTCTTGCATACTCGGCTTCAATTTTATCTTCAGCCCTTAGGAAGCAACAAGCTAAATGAGAAATCTAAACTGAGGGACTCAACTTTCTGTTCAGCTAGAGCCCTTGTAAGAGATAGAAAGTTTCATTAAGCCGTGTACAGGTACTAATGGCTTTCACTGCACAAGATCAGTGAAAAAAATCATGGCACTTGGGTTAGAAGGGACCTGAGGGATCCCTTGTTCAAACTCCTCCTCAAAGGAAAATGAAGTTACAGGGCTACATATAGCGCAGAACCTTGAAACAGAAGTGAGCATGTGGGGAAGTTTCTAGGAAAAGGTCTTCCCAGACCTTTTTAGAAATCTCTATCCAAGTTTGGCAGAGCCACTGATCTGTTACTCATTAAAAACTATACTGCATTGCTGGTGTGCTCTGAGCTTCTAAAAGGTGGAATCCAAAGTGTATTGTGGAAACCAAAAGGGAAATGGTTGCATTTGAGTTTAGCACAAAAATCTAATTATAATTTCACAGGAGAACTGAGGGAGAATGGAGTAAACTCCTACACTGAACTCACTGCTTGGAGATTCTGCCACAGCGAGGCAGAGAACTGAGAACAAACTTGGAGACTTAATGTGGGTACTCACTCCCACAGGGATGCTGCTGACTGACTTCACTGGAACTATATTTGAAGCAGACTGTTTTATATCTTCAGCCCACTTTGTACAAGATCAAATTCCATCCACTCATAAACAAGAACTTCTGTTTTCCACAAAAATTTGATTACAAATTTTAAACAAAAATAGCAACTAAACATGCAAAAATAAGTTTGAATAACTCTAGATGATTTGCACTGGCATCACTCTGCACATACAAACTTTCAAGCCATGGAAATAATGTGCTCTTGATAGTCATTTTCCCCCTCAGCCAAACAGTAACGAGCAAGTCTGGTTTATTGTTATTGTAAGGCAATACAGTGAAACTGTATGAGAATATCTGAGTATGTAAGAAGTATGAAAAGAGTCCAGTGGTCTGAGCTTGGTTATTCACATTCAGCTAATAAGACTGATGTTAACTTTTGGAAGCATCACTATCTATAAATTACAAGCAAATGAGCTGGGCAATTAGCTGGAAGCAAAATGAGCATCCTCATCTTCTGTAAAACACAGCATTTTATAAATAAGTGTTTGATCAAATAATCATTTGATCTTCAGGGTTGTGTAACCAAAGTTCTCAATCACTTCTCCTCAGCTGCCAAGAGCTTCAGAATTGCGGAAGCTTTATCATTTTGTCAACCTTCAATGCACAGAAATGTTGAGGCATGTCCCCACAAGACGATTATCTGTCTGACTTGCAGTTGAAAGCTATTAGATGTTACTTTTTACATTAGCTGAGAATTGCCCAGTTGCAGTTTCTAAGTTTGTTAAGGTTGACAAAGATGAGCATGACAGACTCACAGTGATTAAATGCTGCTTGAATTTATTTCACAACGTGCTAAATGTTTCTTATGATACAATCTTAAAATTAGAATGAACTGATCTTGTACCTACTGAAGTTTATGACATGATGAATTCTTTAGAGAGTAAATTACAATGAAACATTGATAGCAAATTACTTGGTTGTAAGTGTAGCTCATCCAAAAAACACATCATGACAAAACCAATGCACTTTATTCAGTCCTATACATCTGCTTTCATATGTGATCTCAGCAAATATGACTATCTTCACCTTATACAATCACTGTCACTGAGCAAGGGAAAAAAAAAAATCAAATCAGACTTTACAGCCATTGCTGTAAAGAGGTAAAACTTTACCAAAAGCTGAATATGGAGAGTTTGCTGAGAAAGAGTGTATGTATTATACACTAAAAAATTAAGTAGAGCGTGCAGATACTTCACAAGTGACGTAGTTGGACATGGTATATTCCTCTATCTTCAGAGTCTTCATTCTTTCGATTTCTTCTAGTGCATGGAATTAATTATAGCCATTTCTACCTCAAATGCAGAAGGGGAACAAATAATTTCCTTGGATAAACAGACTTGAACAGATTGCAGAAGACCACAAAATATTGATTATGTAAAGTTTGAACTTCAAATTAAGGCCCAAGTGAAGGTTAATTTCAGTTATTCACGTAAAGAGTATTATGACTTGCTTTTAAAACGTATCAGAAAAGTGACTGTAAGTACTATTTTCAGTAACAAATTGAAGTTTACAGGACTGAATTGTATATTTAGGGGTAGCGGATGCGAACATGAGGAGGAAAAAAATACAGGATTTGCTAAGGGAAATGGCATTTCTTTAAATTACCCATTCAAAAAGGGCATCCTTCCCTTAATCACATAGTTATTTCCAAGAGAGGTGATCATCCAAGCTTTGGAGGCAGAAGAGAGGCAGTGGTCAGAGCAGCACTGTGCTCTAGCTAATCTTAGCTGCAAAGCCCACTTGGGTTATTCTCAGTAATCAACATAGGGTGAACAACTTAAGTACAACTGCCAGGTTAAACTAGGGACAGGTTTAGTTCTACCTCTATAGCCACTGCTGTGTCTCAGGCAGATCACAGCTCAGCTGGAAGACAGACTGTAACCATAAGCTTCCCACAGGCTCTGTCCAACCTGGCCTTGAACAATGCCAGGAATGGGGCATTTATTACTTCTTTGGGCAGCCTGTTCCAGTGCCTCGCCACCCTCACTGAGAGGAGCTTCTTCCTTACATCGAACCTGAGCTTCCCTTGTTTAAGTTCAAACCCATCAGCCCTTGTCCTGTCACTACAGTCCCTGATGAATTCCAGTATCAGTGGGTCAGGAGACCTGCCTTGTGTTCTGGCTTTATCACTACACAGTTTTACTCCCATCCATGTGACAACTGTGCTGTTCCTGTAATTACTATTAAATTTCCAGTACAGTTGGTCTGGAGTCATTACATATACATGACTTCAGGATGCTGTGCCACAGAAACTGACCTAGTTGTGTTCATACTTCCACTAGAGACGTGGTATAAGTTTAAGCCAGAGAAACGAAATCTCTCTGTGCAGTAAAACCAGAGCATGCAGGTGGTGAAGATGGTTTGGACAAGCTGGTGCTCAGCTGTCTCCTGAAGCTTAGAGCTGACAAGTCAGACATCACTAAGGGAATTCAAACATCCAGGCTCCAGTACCCTGAAACTGCTACCTGAGTGGCATGATAGCCCTACAATGTCACAAGGGACTCTCCAGCTATGTCAGTCTCTCATTAAGATGGTGCAACCCACAGAACTTCCCTGCTTACCTCTGTGGGCTTGACCACTTTGAAATAAACCCTTGAGAAGTTTCTGTCTTTAGCATCAAGGTGGACCAAGGGTTTTCCACATACCTCTGCAATCCAGTGCTTTGGAGTCAAATGCTTCTGGTATTTTAATATAAGGCTTCAGGAAGCTTCATATGGTTATGTTTCCTTTTTAGTGTTTGCACATACCCACACCCAACACTTCACTTTCTTAACACACAAATGTATTTTTGTATAATAAAAATGTTGACAAGTTCTAGTCAGGGTTTAAGAAGTTTTAGACCTGAAAACCTGTGCACCTAAAACAGGATAAACTGTGCCCCTTGCACTAACTTCTGATTCTACAGCCTGCCCATCACTGTGAGGATGCAGAACAATGCAAGGGATATGTGATATATAATGTCAGCTGGCATCAGCAAAGGTGCTGGGGATACTTCAGAGCTCTAAGATTGCTGACTGTTTTCATGGCATCACATGAAACACAGAAATAAAGAGCTCCTCTTCTATGATCTATAATGGAAGTTTTGCTTTGCTGTCTATCCCTTCTCATTAAAAGCATAAAACACAACACAAGATAGGGATTAGGCAGAGGCAGGAAAATGCAACAGAGCCACAGGGAAGAGCTCAAGGAGTGAAAAGGATTCGCACATGTGCCAATAAAGCCAGTCCTGATGTCAGCTACAAGTTGTGCTCTTAAAAAACCAGAGCTAAGTTTCACTCAAAGAACAGAAGAACAATAGG